CCTCAGGTGCTCCAACTGCCTGATTCTGTGCCTGGGCATGCTTCTTTGTTCTCCTTTTAGCTACTATCTAAGGCATTCAGGCTTTCTCCCAAAGTTGCTTATTATGGCCCCTTTTCAGAAAATTCATTCACATTAAATTGTAAGTAGCTTATAACTTCCCCCTATGTGCCTTGAATTGCATTTTACTAAGAATAAAACAAAGAGAGACAAGAGACAGACAGACACATACACACACACACACACACACACGATTTTCTCACTTACGTCTGGAACAATAACTGTAAGCTTGGGATTTAAAGCATGATAGACTTTTCCAATGGCTCCCTTATAACACCAGAAAGGGTTATAATCTTGAGCATATTTGGTGTTGGCATCTCTGGCAGTTGTGAAGATCTTGTACCAGAGCGTGGCGTTGCTGTATGTATCAGGAACACAGTGTGGTGGCTGTCTGCAGGAGAAAAGAGGAAAAGAAATGTGCTCAGTGGCCTGAGACATTTACTGCATCTTCCCCACAGCCCCTGGCCCAACATAACCATACCACACGTGTGGAAAGGAGAAATAAGAGAGATACGTGTTTCTCTGAGATAACATACCATTTTGCTTTTAGTTCAGAGACCTGTTTTTAAATTTAATATTTTTTTTATTTAATAAACATATAAGAGTAAGAAACAGGCATTCGACATTTAGGAGTATGGGTGTTATATTTTTGTCTTCAGAATTCATCCCATGGTCCTCTCGTATATGATGTGGCCAAAGAGTCCTGCTCCTTTCAAGCCCATTTTCTCAAACTGTCTAAATTCTTAGTCACAACAGGAAGTTTAACATACAAACTTCTCCGTCAGATACTATAACCAACAGCAAATAATGTTTAACTTATCTGCTCTTGTCCTACAAACCTCCAAATGTCTAAAACAGATAAACACTGGGATGAAAATATTAAGACCAGAAATAGGCCTTATTGTTTCTTCCCAGTTTCTTACTCTTATTCTTATTGAAAAAGGATTCACCAGAGAATTTTTAAAAATAGCCTACATTTATGTATTTCATTCATTTATAGATCTTTTATCTCCTTTAGAGAAAAAGGAGAGGCAAAAAAAAAAAAAAAAAAAACCTTAAAGGTAAAGCAGTAACATTGATGACTATTCAAAAAATATGAAGCAAAAGTTTCAGAAACAGTAACTGTTTCATGGAAAATAAGGTTTGATTTATGCTCTCAATTTGAAAAATAACTCTGGATAATGGAGATGAACAAAACTTTTATCTTTCGGGAGCTTTAATTATGGGTTGTTCTGGTCACAGGATCCACTCTTCCTTATCTTTTGTGATGCGCTTCTACCAACAGGAAAGGCAGCATAAGAACAGCCAATGACAACCAACCCTGCTGAGGAACTGACTTTCTGCTATTTATATGCAGGAGTTCTACCTTAGAATTCCAAATTAAACTTAAAGAATGCCTTAGGTCCAGGTGAAGTAATGCAATGCAAGTCATCCTGAGAATTTGTTGCTGAAGCATCCCAGTCATATTCATGATAAATGGAGCTTCTCACACACATCCTTGGGCTCAGGAAACCACTTACACGGTGACGGGGAACACACCGGGGTTGGCTGTGAGGGTCATGCAGGCTGTGAACACCACCTGCTCACAGTGACCGTGAAGGGCACAGTCATCCGAGCTCCAAGCTGCAGGCAGGGTAAAGGTAATGTTTATCTCCTCATGGGCTTCCCTGCCTATGGAAGAGAAATCGTTTTTTTGGTAAAGAAAGGCAAGAATCCATATAATTATTATTCTCTGGGATTTGAATGAATCCTGAAATCAAACCCATGCAGGAATCACTTATCAGTCCACAGAAACAGGACTCCTGAGGAATTTGCAGGAACAACAGCAGTTCTGAGCTGGACTCTGAGGCCTGCTCACCTGGCAGAGCCACCAAATGGCAATAGGAGAGGGGCCACTTTCAGCCAGGACTGGGGATGCCAAACAAGGCCCCAGGCAGTGCCCCAGTTGGACAGCTCGGGGCCAGGTGAGTTATTATCACCACCGTTTTAGCATTTGCACATGACTTTCCATTTTCAAACTACTTTTATATGTATTACTTCACTTAAAATGTACCACTATCCCACAAACATGACCAAAAAAGTGTTACTGCTCCCCTTTTACATATGAGCAGACTGAGGATCAGAGGGTCTCACAGACTTGAGAAAGGTCATGGGACAGGTAAGTGATGAAGCTTAAATGAAAACCAAGGTATTCCAACACCACAGAGAGAGGTCTACTCACAATATGGAAAACACAGAAATCACCCTTATCTTATTTCCAAGGAAAGCGCTCTCACCTGTAACAGCCAAGAGAAGGCTGGCAGGCGCTCCCAACTTCTTTAAGGGCTTTAAAAGGCTCTTGGTAACCAATGAACCACAGAATATTCTTCCAAGACCCAGGCCTCCAACATAAAGCTTTTCCAGCTTCCACTACTTTCTCAACTTTGTCCTGAATAACTTAGAGTCTTGTCATGGGTTTAGTACTGGTCAAAGGGCACTGCCCAATGTTTTACAGGCGTCAAGCACTTATATAGCATTTGTTTTGTGCAAAGAACTTGATAAATATTAATTCATAGTATCCTTGTCTCTTCCATAATCCCCAAATGCCAAAAGACCAGATCTTAGGCTTTTTCTAGTTCATTCCAGCACCTACCACAGTGATGAGCTAATGGTGGGCACTCAGAAATTTGTAGACTAATAGTGATATTTGTAGTATGTATTGCAATCTCCATCAGATAAACCTGAATATATTTTTTATGCCTGTAAATATTAAGACCAGAAATACGCCTTATAGTCTCTTCCCAGTGTCTCACACTTACAGGTTTTTAATTGACAGCCTACTGTGTGCCAAGCACTATATTAAGTGAAGGTATAGTAGAAATGGTTCCTTCTTGACTGCTTAGTTCAAACTCAACAAGAGGGGAGGTGTGTGCAAAAATATAAAATAGTCTAATAAATAAAACCACACACTGCTAATACTGTTTTGTAATAGCTGTTGCCTGAGAAAGTCTGAAAGGAAAATGGCTAACACTCACATACCTGAAAGTCCAATTTGATGCCCTAAAATGGTTGAGTACAGATGAGTGACGTTGCGAGAGTATCCTCCAAATGGTTTGAGTGGGTCCAGGGTAAGCGTGATTGCAACTGAGATGTTAACGGGGCCTGAATCCTCCAAAGCCTGTGGGGACTGGGTGGACAATCTGGCCTGCCCGCTGGTCATTGTGCTTTCCGGAGTTGTGGTGTCATTTGTGAGATGCTTTAATGTTTCATTCTCTGATACACACAAGTCTAAATCATTAAACCGCAACAGAAAAGTATTCCAATCCTTCAGGAAAATGAAACAGAGAAACAAGTGTGAGCAGTCTAAAAGTGCTGCCACTGCAGTTATATAGCCATGACCCTCAAGGTGACATCAAACCACAATGGGGACACAACACTTCAGAGTCAATCATTTAGAACAACAGTGACAATACAGCCATCAGCCTCTTGCATTGGCATAATAATGTGGTTTTCCAGCCACTCTTATATTCATAATCTTAAATATGAACTATTCATTAGCATGATATTAAATAAGCTGTAAGATTAAACCAACTTATTCAAGAAAATATGTGAAAAAACAAAAAGGCATATTATACTCATAGAAAATGATTTAGCCTCAGAATTAAACTTGAAATGAAAGCTTGAACAAAAGCAGTAAGACATGAAAAGCAGTAATCCAAACTCACTTAGCAGTTGCAATTAGTTGTTTTTTAAAAATAAGGCTGCCTCAAAATAATTCCTAAAAAAGTCAATTTTATACACCTTGCTTTCTCTCTTGAGAACGTGAAACAGTAAATACCAATACTCATGGGGCTGTTTCCCCCTCGTCATGGACTTTGGATGCTACCTTAGAACAGCAACAATTTCAAAAGGGAGAAAAGATGTTTTCAGGCTTCTCTTAATATACACCCTGCCTGTATTAATGATTTAAATCATAAGCAGTTTTAAAAACACATACAGCTTATTATGTCATGGTTAAACTGATACCAACATAGTAAAGTACCCAATAGGATTTATTTTAATTTTAGTAGAAACCCAAAGATGAATTCATGCTGAAACAACAACACATCTAACCTAGGGTGTTACATATATCTTTCTCCCAAGCAACATTCATCTACAGAAAGTTGTCAAATCAAGTTACACTTACAATCACACTTATACTAGCATTAATTAAATGCCATCTGAGCAATCCCTAAGCAGTCAAGCGAGTCTATTTTTACGGCATCAGTATATGCCATTTAGTAAGACTGCAACTGATGTATCAAATTACATTTCCCTAACATCTACAAACTCAGCAGACCATTCAAGAACCTCAGGGCTGAAAATGAACATTCTAGTCTCATCCCTTCATATTCCAGATATAAGGAAACCGAGGCCCTGCGCAAATTACATACTCTCCAATTCCACAATTGAAAGCAGAATCAGGATTAAGTTTTCTGACTCACAGCACCAAACTTTTCCCATATACCTATGATCCTCCCTTGAAAATAAGATCACAAAATTAATATAATATTAAAATAACCAAAGTTCTGTAGCATCTGGCCCTGGGGCATTGCTGTTGCTGTCCATTTTGAACAGTCTGCCAAAGCCAGTATCAAGCCCATTTTGATTTAAGGGCTAATTTTCCAGGCTACAACTTGACCATTGGCCTTGGCTGAGTGTTCAACATGGACTCGAGCTCTTTTGAAAAAGCAATGCCAGGATGCTGTAGAGCGTTGGTTGTGACTAGCATGTTCATTTCAGCCCTAATGTGGGTATAGCCTGTTTCCACATCTTTTAAAGATTCAGGCAGGGTCGGAAAAGAGAGAAAATTAAGCCAGCCACTATGTCTGCTGGTAAGAAACTCTTGGAAAAGGTTCTATGATAGAAACAGCTAAAACTTGTTACTTTAACTGTGTTAGGGAGTTCACATGTGAAAGAGTCCCTCCTGCCAAGACCACCTATGATCTTGAATGCCACAGAGCACAAGACAAAGCCATGACCCCCTTTACACTCAGCAGAACTCTCTTCTCCTTCACTGTAGCAACAATGCAATTCCAATCTGTACTCCCATCCCACTCTCACCAACGAATACACACAAGAAGTGTAAGAGTCACTCAGACAATCTACTAAGAACTAATCTGTCCTGAAAGAAACCTTATCCACCAGTAAACTCATCATATCATTAATTCAGCAAAATTTCTAACATGGAAAATAAATTAATAGGTAACACTGTAATTCACCTCTATTAAATAAGAATTATTAACTTTTTATTATTTTCTGATATGTAAAGACACATCATTTCAAATCTGCATTTTGAGTGTTCGAACCATTATGTGCCTAGATTAAGGATTAAAAAAGAGCAATGCCCTAATAATTAATTTAAATTGACCAAAATGTAAAATCTAGAAGGTAAGCTCATAGATAACTGAAGTTTTCCTTGATAAAAAAAGATAAATATATTTGGAAATAAGAACCTATTCCTAATGTCATTAGGATCCCTTCTTATCCAATGAAAAAGCTATCCATACAGCTGATAAAACTCCATGATGACATGGGGCTTTAAAATAACAAATGTTTATAGGTTTCAAAAACTTCAAAGAGCTAATTTCACATGAATATAAAAGAAGCTAGATCTTGATGCAAACATTTTACAATACACTTTCCAAAATACCTGCTTCATTACTGACACAGTCTAAGCGAAACTGGCAGTATCACTTAAATCAATATCTACCTGACTAGAAACTTCCTAAGAAAGTGAGTCACAGGGAGATGAAAGACAAAAATATCTGAATAAACACTGATCTTTCTCACTGGGATAAAAAAGTCACAACCAAAGAAAAGTGTGTGGAGAGCCCAAAGGTGTTTTCCCAGCCAGTCTTAGGAGAACTTAGAGAATATACTATACCTCTGCCATTTCCGGTGACTTAATCTCCTTGATTTTGAAGAAATAGCCCAAGGTCAGGAAAGCTATTGCCATGGCACTTACACTGATCATAAAGACCACCAAGGGAGGCCGACTGCTGATATATAGCTTCAGGTTATCCAAGGGGTTGATGTTGAACATTATTCTGATCAGCTCCACCTGAAAGAAATTAATCAGAAAGCCCATGGATTGACTTGCCAAAAGAAAACCTATGATTCTCACTTTTGTTTCCTTTCACAGTATTGGGGAGTAGAGTAAAGGTGGTCACTCATTATTGAACTTGAGAAATGTTTGATCATAAATCTCCAAAACACCAGCTAGAAAAACTAAATGTTAATTGTTGTTATTTCCAAGTGATAAGATCTTGAAAGATATGTACATTTCCTTTCAGTTTAATCTTCCAATTATTCTATAATTAACAACTTGCTACTTCCATGTTACTTAAAAAAATGTTTAAGTAGGTTAGTAATGTGACACAAACACATGCCAACATGAACAAAAATAAAATGAGGATGCTCTCATTTCCTACCACTGAAAAGCTGAATTCTATCTACTGAACATTCTGTCCTACTCACTGCCATCCACATGCCCATTCCAGCACAAGGCACAGAGAAGCACTCGATAAATACTGAATTTTATCACTCCCCTGCTTAAAGCCCTCCTAAGGTTTCCCACTGGACCTAGGATAAGGTCGGTGACAGCTCCCTGTTAGGGCCCACAGGGAGGTTTCATGATCTGGAAACCTTGCCAATCCTAATGACTTACATCTCCACCAACTTCTCCTCCTCCCTCACTGGGCTCTGATCACACTGGCCTTGCTATTTTTCAGCATCAGCTTTTTGATTTCTGCCAGGTCTGCTACGACTTTGGTGGCACTGAATCTGTGGAATAGAGCTTGGGCAGTATTGCCATCCTAACAATACTGTCTCCAGTCTACGAACTTGGGATATCCTTCTATTTATTTAGGTTTTCTTTAATTCATTTCAACAACGTTTTGTAGTTTTCAAAGCATAAGTTTGCACTTCTTTTGCTAAATATATTGTATTCTTCATGGAAATGTTAAACATGTCCTATCTGAAGGCTTTTATCTAAGCTTGGAATGCTTTCCCCAATATTTCCACACATTTGCTCTTCCTTCAAATGCAGGTCTCCACTCATACATAGCTCCTCAGACAGGCCTTCCCTGACCACTCTCAGCCCTTAGTCTCCTGCTTTAGTTCCTTCACAGTTTCATGCCAGTCAAGGATACAGTTAATTTTCTACTTGTTTACTGTTTATCATCCCTCATTTGTAAACTCTGTGACAGCAGAGATTTTGCCCAGTCTTGTTCACTGTTATAAAGCCCCTAGAACAGTAGCTGGCACATAATGAGCCCTTGTATATATGAGCCGATTATACCACCACTAAAAAAGCAGTTTTAAAAAAAATCTGTTAACTTTTAACTTTGAGAAAAAGATGAATCAACAGCCCCTAAGAACTAGCAGCAACCACTTCCAATCAACCAGGCTGTTACTTATTTGTCCTCCCAAGAGTCCTTGGAGATGGAAAAAACAGCCTTTCTGCTCTCCCCAGAGGCAACTTTAGTTCTTAAATTAGCAAGTACCATTCACCACACATGTTTTGTATACTTTAAGCACATGTGTATATATAAACAGATACAATTACTGATGCTGCATTCGAAAACTTGGGGAAAATAATATATTGCATGTATCCTAGTGCTATGTTTACTCAATGTTCTGTTTCTGAGAATTATCTCTGTTGATGTATGTAAATCTAGCCCACTGAATTTACCCGCTGTACGTTGTGCAACTAGATTACAGTTGAGTTATCCTGGACTGAGGAGCTCAGCGGTTTCTTCCCCATATTTCACTCACAAAGCGCACTGCAGCAGGCAGGAGAGGCTCTAGCACAACTACGTCACAGGGCAGACCCATCTGAATTTGACTTTGTCAGACCACTCTCCAAGGAAGTTGCATTTGTTAACACTCCCAGCGATGAAGGGGCTCACTTCATTTCCCAACATATGTGCCAACACTTGATATTCTAAAGCATATGGATTTGGACCAAGATAGATGTGAAATGGTATCTCATCATTATTTTAAATTGCATCTCACTGAAACCAAACTTTATCAGCCATTTAGATTTCTTCCTAGGTAAACTGCCTGAATCTCTGGCCATAAACTGGAAAGATATCCACCTACTTCTTAATAATGTTTAGGAGTTCTCTTTATAGTGTGGATACTAAGCCTTTACCAATTTTATATATTACATATAACTACTCCATGTCTGTGGATTTTCTTTAATATGGTTAATGGTATCTTTTGCCATATGAAAGGGTGTTGATTGTTTTTAACTGCTTTTTTGAGATCTAATTCACCTACCATCTAACTTCAACCATTTAAAGCATACAATTTAATACACAGAATTGGGCAACCATCACTATAATTAATTTTCACACACATTCATCATATCATAAAGAAACCTCATACTAAGAGAGGATAGGAGGCATTTGAAAAACACAAAGGAAAGGGCTTACAGAAATGACCGACTCAGCCAGTTAAAGCCCATTCCTGACTGCTCTCTTACCCCTTCCAGGACTCTCCAGCTAACATGTTTTCCCATAGCTACCTCCCCCACCTCAAGCACTCTCCAGCTCACATCTGTTGATTCATGGCTTGCCAACCAACTAATGTTCCTTCTTATCTCTGTAGCTGTGTAGGAATAACAAGACTATAAAACTACTTTTTATGTTACAATTGGGACTACAATCCACTGAGCAGGTGTTAGCATAATAAGCGTTGCTTCCTACTTACAGCTTCAATGTCCCATCTCTGTTCGAGAATCCTATAAGTGCTGATAACGCCAATGTCACAAAACAAACAACCTGTAAGACCAGCGGTCTGAAAATTCCTTCCCCCACCTGAGTCATGAGGCACATGTGAGACAAAGGAATCACATGCTCCTTGTATGGACACTGCAGAGGTATATAAACTGTAATAAATCTAACCAAAGTGAGCTCATGCATGGTGTTATTAACCCCACGCGCTCTGCCGGCCAATAAATTCTCCTTCCTCTAACGAAGTTGTGTGAGCGTACAATTTCTTCCGTCGGGTGTCGCTTCCTGCAACACTACCCAGCAAGTAAACTCTTATTTCCCCCAGCTCTCAGGCAAGCACTAATGTACTTTCTGTCTCTACAGATTTGCCTATTCTGGACATTTCAAACAAATGAAATCATATAATGTGATCTTTTATGACTGCTTTCACTTAGCATCCTGTTTTCATGGTTCATCCATGTTGTAGCATGTGTCAGGATTTCATTCCTACTTATTGCCAAAAATATTCCATTGTAAGAAGTATTTTATTTATTCATAAACATTTTGTTTATCCATTCATCAGTTGATGAACATTTGAATTTCCACATTTTAGCCATTGTGAACTTGTATATGTAAGTTTTTGTGTAGACATGCTTTCATTTGTCTTGGTTATATACCTGGAGTGGTGGGGCGGGGGGCAGTGCTGGGTCATATGATAACTATGTTTAACCTTTTCAGGACCTGCCAGACTATTTTCTAAAGCAATTGCCCAATTTTGCATTCTCACAGGCAGTAGTGCAGAGTGCTCCAATTTCTCCACAACCTCATCAATACCTGATATTATCTTTTTTTATTATAGCCATCCTAGTGGGTATAACGTGGTCTATCTCACGATGATTTGATTTGTACTTCCCTGACAGTTTTAAGTTCTTGATCTTAAATTTATCAAGAAATAGCCTTTTCCTTTTATGGTTGTGTATCTGGATATTACTTAAGAATTCCTTCCCATCTTTGTATGTCATACAGATTTTTTTTACATTATTTTCCTCTACAAGTTTTGTAGTTTTATTTCTTACTATTACTTTCTTATCTATTTGGAATTGATTTAGAAGTCCATAATCAGGTAGGTTTCTAGTTTAATATTTTTTTATACAGGTGGCCAATTGTCCAATGCCATTTATTGAACTTGGTTTTGTACCGATCATGAATTTGTAATGCCATCTCTCACATATAACAAGCTCCCATATACATGGGTTTGTTTCTAGGCCTATTCTTGTGTTCCATCATTCTATATATCTCACCATACTTCAGTACCTTGCTTTTAAATCTTGCTCTCTATTACAAGAAGTGTTCCATTTTACTTTTATTAAAAATTGCTTGGCTATTCCTAGACCTTTATTCTGGCATATGCATTTTAGGTTCCAACTGTAAAGTTCCCAGAAAAATCTTGTTGAATTTTAATACAGAATTGAACCAAATATACTATTAATTTGAGGAATAAATTACATCTTTACAACATTGTTTCCTAATCTATCAATACGGTATCTCTCTCCATTTATTTGGGTCTACTTTTCTTTTTCAATGTTTTTAAAACTCTTTTATGTATCATTACATTAATTCGAACATATACTAACTTATGTAACTATCACTGATAGCATCTTCTAAAAAATTACATTTTCTACTATTACTTTATACGAAAGCAACAGACTGTGTGGCACAGACAAGTGGAAGAGTAACCCTACAATCGGCAGTTGATGCTTGCTGAGACAAGTAGAAACCAACTGAACTCTTAAGGTCTGTATGTTGTTTGGCATAGTGGGAGTAGAATACAAAGGAGCCCAAACTTTGGGGCTAATGTTGCCTGTACAGCAATTTTCTTCCACAACACTTTTGCTGAGTAAACAGTGGCATGGAGAGTTGTCTGGAAAATGGAGAAAGTGCTTACTTCTGCAATGCTTAGATCCAAAAGAAACTTCAAGAAATAATGATGGAGAATTTCCCAAAATGGATGAAAGATATTAATCACGTATTCAAGCTTAGCAAACCCTAAGCAGGAAAAATGAATAAATCCACTATTGGCACATCACAGTGAAAAGGAAAAGGAGAATCTTATAAGCAATAAGAGAAAAAGGATACATCAAAATAAGGGCAAAAAAAGAAAGTAAGAATTATAGCTGACCTCTCTTCAGAAAGAAAAGAATGGAAGGCATTTTTAAAAGTTAAATTTAAAATAAAACTATCAATTTAAAATTATATACTTAAGAACTATATTCTTCAAAACTCAACAAAAATAGACATTTTCAGATGTTAAGTGAATTTGTCCTCACCAGATCCACACTATAAG